CATTTAGGGCTGTCTACATATTTCTAAGGAAATTGCTTGGTAGATTTTTTTCTTTTTTCCAATAAAAATCGTTGTCAAGACTTCATGCCCATGCTTCCTGAAGAACTGTGCATATTCTTTGTACAGATTAAAGCACAAAGTCACATGTGAGTATAAAATGGTACCTATAGATTTTATTATTCAAAGCCATAAGATACACTGTCCTTCCATGGAAGACACTGGAGTTCAGGGATTAAAATTGTCTGTTTCATCAAGTTTCAACTAAAATCTGAATCTACTTTGAGGGAGTTTCTAACCGGACCACTAACTTCCTGGAGAAAAGGCAGTGAGCTATTCCACGACTTGTCCTTGTTCACCTCCTCTTTTTTGACTAATTAAACATCTCTTATAATCACTTAGAATTATAATTTGCCATATATCAGACACATGACAGTCAATACAATTTATTGATATATGAAATGATTGTCACTGGGTGTTGGTGAAAATGTAGCTTTATAAAAACCTTCCCATATTCATTCCAGACAAGACCTAAGAGATGACCTAACCTTCATTTACACAAAGCTATAAGACACAGAGGGCCCAAGAGCCTTCGAAAGTTGCACAGCCATGCTGGGACCACACACAGATGCTGGTCTCCTGGATCATTTACTGCTTTTTTCTACACATCTGCTTCTTTTATTGATGCTATGCACTCCCTGTGAGTACTGGAGACTCCTCTGGCATTTGATTGGTTACCCAATAAAATGCTTGCATTTCACTGACCCTTTCCACTACAAACTCAATATATATGCCCCCCCCCCAAAAATCATATATTGAAAACTAACGCTTAATGTAATGATATTAAAAGGTGGCGTTTCGGGAGGTGACTATGTCATGAAGGTAGAGTTCTCATGATTGGGATCAGTGCCCTTATAAAAGTGACCCCAAAGAGCTCAGTAGTCCCTCCACCAATGTGAGCCAACAATGAGAAGACGTCCACCAGTGACAAAGCAGGTCCTCACCAGACATCAAATGGTTGGCATCGGGATCTTGGACTTCCAAGTCTCTAGAATTGTGGGAAATAAATTTCTCTTGTTTATAAACCACCCAGATTATATTTTTTATAACAGCCTGAACATACTAAGACCCTTTCATTTCAAGCCGGCAACATTGCACCCTTGTTGTAAGTTAATGTGCTGATAGAGCTATTCTCATTTTCCCCTTTATATCTAAAAATTAGACTTTGATAGAGGAATTAAATTCCCAAGGTAGCATTTTCTTTCTCGCTTCACTCTTGCTGACCAGTGTGTCTGATTTTTCCCATCCCCAAAAGTCACTTGTTGCCTGTGAACTTCGGAGGAGGTTGTGTACACTCTGGCAACACTAATGGTCTTCTCAGAGCCAGCAAGTAGATTCCAACTCATCTAGATACCGCTCCAGTGAACCCATACAGTCAGGCCATGATGTTCTTGAACAAAACAAGGCCTGGAATTGTGTTAAAGGGGAAAAAAAAAAAGAGGCAGGCACCGCCCTGGCCAGTTTGGCTCAGTGGTTAGAGTGTTGGCCCTCAGACCAAAGAGTCTGTGGCTTGATTCTGGTCAAGGGCACCTACCTCACTTGTGGTTTGGTCCCCAGCTCTGGTCAGGGTCATACGGGAGGCAGCCAGTTGGTGTATCTCTCACATTGATGATCCTCTCTCTCCCCTTCCCACTCTATCTGAAGATAAATGGAAAATATCCTCAGTGAGGATTTAAAAGAAAAAAAAAGGCAGACACCAAAAGAGCAATTTCACATGGATCCTCAAACGGATCCACTGAAGGTGTGCTGACACACTGACCCCAAGCCAGCAGTCCTGAGCCCTCACTGTCATTTAATGTGATACAACGGGTATTCTGATTTTCTCCTGGAGCTAAAGATCAGTCTGAACCAAAGAGTTAAATTCTCAAGGTAGCACAAAAGAATTCATATTTCAATGCCTTAGGAAAGACATAGCTAGAGTCTGTTCTTTATGTGTATAATTTCCAAGGATATGTATATATTCAATAAATGAATCTAAAATCACAAGAAATTAAAGAATTTGACATTAAGAATCCATCCAGTTAATAATCTTAGTTTCTTTGTTCACAACGGGGTGAGGACATAAGCATGCAGCTTTTATGCATTCAAGTGCATATTATAACTTCAGTTATTAGGGGGAAGTTGTCAAGGTCTGCTTCTTCTCTGTTAAAAAACTAATTAAGGCTTTGTTTATTTACAAATACATAGCCACAGCATAACTTTTGAGAGCTCTTATTCCTGAGTCACATTATTTTGGTCTGGAATTCTAATTTGCTCATGAGCCTTATTTTATTGTCTTAAGCCTTTGTTTTCTCATTTGTAAAATTAGGAAGAATAAAAATAATAATATGTCTCACACAGATTTGTTGTGAAGAAAAGATTGGACGTGGTTACAAAGCAGTTAGCACAGCACCTAGTACATAATGAGCTTTCAATAAATGTGAACAACTTTTATTACCGTACTTTGCTGTATTATCATCATTGGGCTATTTATATGATTAACTTCATTAGTCAATCTTCATTTCTTCAATACCGCAAAGATAAATTTCAACTTTCAAAATTAGTTTGAATGAATCTGGTCTCATTGTAGCTATTTTTATCTAAAATAATGAATTGATAGGCTTGCAAATAGTAAAATCTCTTTATACTTTGGATTCTCTAAGTTACCATATGCCCACATAGAAATAAAAAGTTTTACTATAGGCGATAACAAATATTGTATGATAAAGTTCATGGAGAGGTTGAAATAGTCATATAAACTAGCTAAAACAGAAATGCAAATGGTAGCATTTCCATAGGGAAAGAAAAAAAAAATCTCAAATGCCAAATTATTTCACTAATTTAAACTTTTTCTTACATTGTTTTGTTTTATTTTTTTAACTCAATCATATATCATCAATTTAATGCTACTGTGATTGATTGTTCATAAAACTTCAGCTTTCTTACAATGCTTTAGAAGATTCTGTATAAGTATTTTAGTAATACTTTAAAGTAAAGACATGAAGACACCAGAAAATCAAATTATGGAAACTATGACAAGGAATGAGCCATTGGTCATCTCTTGATTGGAATCACTGAGCAGGTCTTTCTGCATCCAAAAAGACCTAGTGGCTAACGAACGTGTTTTTTATAACCGTAACCAAAATAACTGGGCTTAGTCAGCGGGTTTCCATCCTTCCTACAAACAGGCTGCATTCTTCAGAGACTTCACAAATATGTACTCAGATATGCTGAATAAAGTCAGGGTAAGTGCCTGACTGCCTGTTTGATTCCCTGGGTGTTAGAAAAGCCCTACTTCACACTCAACATGCAGTCAGCATAAGTTCATTAAGCGCCTACTAAGTCCCAAATACTGTTTTGGTGCTAAATGTCCTAAAAGAAATACGACACTCAGTATCCTTGTATTCTAGGTACTTAGAGCCTAGTGCTAGAAAAACAAAAACAAAACACCTGGAAACAAATGCCATGACATTCATTTAAGATTAGTGCTGTCACAGAGGCCAACATAAATCACCAACACGTCCTCCTGCCAGCTCCTTAATGTACAAACTTCCCTTTAAAGATATAAGGCTTTATGTTGCATTGTCAGAGATAAGATTTGAAACACAAACATAGTGAATCAAATCCCGAGGAAGGCAGTGGATTTGAAATTGTGCTTCACCGATTTCATGTGCCTTGGTGGCTCTTTCTTCTTTCAGTCAGACTTTATTGTTTGCATTTATTTGAGCTCTTCCTAGTGAAAAAAATTTCTTGCCTAAAAATAACAAGCATACACCAAATAAGTAAAAAACAAATAAGCGAAGATACGAATATCCGTGCATGTGTCGAAAGATCTTCTGAAAGCACATCCAGATGAAGGGGAGGGTTAGGAGAGGGGAGACTCGGGACAGGACACCTGGAACTAAGACCATTCATCAGTTCAGGTCAAACTGCTGTAGAAGCTCTTTGGACAGAATCCTCAAATAAAATACTTTATATCCAATTCCATTATATACATATGAAGTAAACATCTTTTTTGTTTTAAGTTTCTTTTGTCAAAAAGAAAGAACCAAGTACAACCCAGATTTCCAGTTGCATATGACAATCATTCAAAACTTATATTCAAAAAAATTTTTTCACAACACATTCTGCATTAAGACCCAACTCCTCAGTTCCTACTTAAATTCCAAAGCTGTTGAGTTGTCTCTCATAGACACACTTTTTCTTATGTCCCACTGTGGTCTTCTTTAGCAAAATGTTTTATCCTCTTTGCAGCAATAAATGATTAATAGGCTTCCTACACACCTCGGGGAGATCTTACAGTGTACTCCTCCAAAAATTCTCTGTATTAATATTTCTCAGATTGGGGCTAGGTGGCTAAGGAGAAGTGAAGAAGTAGAAGAATACCTAGCTCATAATACCAAGACCTCAAATATAATTTAAGTAATTATGGGAATAACCCAAAGGCAAAATGAACTAGAGAACACTCTTCCTCCATTCCTTGATCTGTCTCTCTGCCCTCACCATCTTGAAAAACGTGTTGTGCTATCCAAATAGAGAGTTAAAGCAATTCACACAGTGTTCTGTTGGTAGCCCAGGCCAGACGCCAGTGAGGCTCTTACACATTGCCTGGGGTCACAGGAGCCAAGGGGAGGCAGCAGAAGAGGAAATCCTAATAATCCCAGCTCTACATGCAGCAGTAAATGTTTCTCGATCATGCTACATAAAACCTAAATGTAAGATTACCTGTAGTGTGGCCAAGTCTAGAGCAGCTCTAAAAGAAATATAATGTGAGCCAAGCTAAAAGTTGCTATAGATCTCTCAAAAGTTGGTTATATTTAAATAAAGACAATGAAATGAATTCCTACAGGGTGTAACAATAAATTTAGTGCTCTGAGGGTTAATAATTAATGAGAAGTGTCCCTAAAAGCTGTTGGGGTGGCATGCATGGGGCACTGAGTTGTAAGGTAAGTGGGAATACTCACCTGTTTTACTAGATGAAGCCTCAGTACCAGTCATGATGGGCAGTTAGGCTGATCTTTTTTGAAGGTTGGGCTCCAGGTTCCTAAGCACAATTACATTAACTCAGTTATTCATCATTTTTAGCTACTTCTTTTACTCACTCATGACAATATGGAATAAGTGATTAGCACTTTATATGCATCACTCCTCTGCTCTGAAACCTTCCTGCTTTTCCCTCCAAAGGGCAATAATAATAGTTAGCATTGGGCAGGGCTCTGTGATTTGTCGAGTGCTATTACCTTACTGGTTCCAAACAACCTAACAGAAACTTGGGGCAGATGCCAGTCTTCTACTCAGAGTGCCCTGTTCTCACATCTCTGCATATGCTCGAACCACCCTTAAAGCAGTCTCATCTCATTGCCTTAGTTTCTTTGCTTAGTAAACTGTTCTTCCTTCAAACACAGTAGTTATGTTGTCTATGCCTCTCGCTTGAAACTTATCATATGCCCTGCAAAAGGAGCTAAAAAGACAGAGTGATAGATATAAATAGAAGTTATATATTTCCAATTAGATTCCAAGTGCCTTCAAAAAAAGCTATACTTTATACCAGTGGTCCTAGACCCTGGATGACTGATAGAATTGCCGGGGGGGAGCGATGGGTGTTAAAAATATATCAAAGCCTAGAATGGAGGCTAGCCACCTGCATTTTTTAAAAACAGCCAGGAAGTCCATTGTATCAGTGCGTACTGCTGTGTACTTACAGTTTTATAATTAGAAATGGAATATTAAATGTCTACAAAGTCTCATGGAGCCTCTTGTTCTAGAAGTCTAACTATTTGGTGATTGTGGTGGGGAGTCGGTGGGTGGAGATGGAAGAGGGTATGGGGGAAATAAATGATGATGAAAAAAATTAAAGAAAATAATAAATAATTAATAGGCATAAAAATAAATAAATAAGCCCTTGCCAGTTCAGTTTAGCGGTAAGAGCATCAGCCTGTAGACCAGTGAGTCGCAGGTTTGATTCCAGTCAAGGGCACATACCTCAGTTGCAATTTGTCCCCGGCCCTGATTGGGGTCGTGTGGGAGGCAGCCACTCAATGTGTCCTTTCACGGTGATGTTTCTCTCTCTCCCTCTCTCTCCCTCCCGCTCTATCTGAACAAAAATTGAAAAATGTACTCAGGTGAGGATAATAAATAAATAAATAAATAAATGTCTGACTATAATTGTTCAGCTGACTAGACCATCACACTGTGATAAAGTATTCAAGAACTATTTTGAAATCTGGGGATTGAGTGAATCCGTAAGCCAGCCTTGTCCTATGAAAGTCATGACTGTAGCCACACACTCTTAGATAAAGGCTATAACAGTTCTCCTCAGCTTTTATCCAGAGGGGAAACAATACAGCAGTTACATCTTTAAAATAACAAATCTGGAACATCAGAAAATGATTAACTCTCAAATTGTCAGCAGTACACTACGGGCCAGACCAGAGGACATGTAACTCCTCTGCCTAGTTCCACAAATGACCTGGGATAAATTTAAAGAGTGTCCTCCTGCTCTGGCCGGTTTTGCTCAGCGGTTACAGCGTCAGCCCACGGACCAGAGAGGCCCGGGTTCGGTTCCCACTAAGGGCACGTACCTCGGTTGCAATTTGTCCCGGCCCTGGTTGGGTCGTGTGGGTGGCAACCACTCGATGTGTCTCTCTCACATTGATGTTTCTCTCTCTCTCTTCCACCCTCTGTCCCTCATGCTCTATCTGAAGATAAATGCAAAAATGTCCTCAGGTGAGGATAAAAAAATAAAAAATAAAAGAGTGACTTCCCTTAGCAACTAGCAATCAGAACTCATCTTCTGGTGTGGCTTAATTACTGTCTTCTTTCCATTTAAATATAAGGAAATGTAAATAAAGGTGTTTCGCGTGCCATCATTTTCTTGTTTTAATCCCCATAAATAGGGACTCCTCCGAAGTCGCTGGTGCCTCCGCCTTACTCAGTGTGCCAGGAGCATGCGTCTGCATTTAACTGGCTGGCAAATGACATCCCACTGTCCTTTCAATGCAGAAAATTAGCCAAGCATCCTAAGGAGAACTGGCATGGCAATGCCCCACAAACCCGGGGTGGTGGGGATGACTCAGATGGGAGCTGGAGTGGGGGAAGAAGGCCCTGGAGGATGGAATTGCTTAGAGATGAACACACTAACACATAACCCCAGCAGGCAGGGTCCCTCTGCACTCTAAGTTGCCAGCGGACAGTTATGGGATGCTGAGTCCTTCCCAGTGCAACGATCAGTTAACAAGTGTATAGGTAGCGTCTGAGCTATACAAGGGGCTTACCCTCTCTTTTGGAAGAAAAGGCAAAAGCATACGTCAATATTTTTTTCATAAAATGCAAAGAACTGTATGCCAGATGTCTTAAGAAAGTTTGTGAGCTTTGTGAAATAAGTGAGAGCCATGAGTTCAAATAAGGCTGGAATCACTGAGGGCTGAGAAAGTGACCTAGAAAAGGCTTCATAAGACACTGAGCTACACCTGGTGGGTTCAGGGGCAAGAGAGAACGTTCCAATTGCTGGTTCCACACAGGCATCAACCAGTTAGAACTAGATGCCGGCCAGCACACCACTGTGGCACTGCGTATCAGTCCTCAGTGGGTCAGACGGGCTGGCTTCAAAGGAATGAAGAAGCAGGCGAGTGGGAGAAATAGCCCAAGCAACACAGGGAGGTGAGACCTTTAGACTCTTAAGTTTCCAAAACTTTATTATTTTATTGCTTTGGGATGAGATGCTAACTAGACCTTATCTCAGAAGTCAACTGCATGGTTAAGAGTTCTTGCCTCTCCCCTGTCCCTCTTTACTTTAGTCTGTTTTCTGGAACTCAGGAGCGGAATGAAAAGGACTTGGCCCAGGCCCTGTCTCTTCCAGTCATGTCCGAGTTACCATCCGCCCCATGTGCCTCTCAGCCATTGGCCACCAGAGCCTCTCTCTCAGGTCACTTGTCACTGTTTGCATTCTCTGACAAGTCTCGGCTCTTCTCCACTTTTTCTCTTCCAAGTCAACAAAAACCTTTAGGTCATTTTCCAGATTTGCTTCCTGACTGCCAACTCTCCTTTTCCCTCTGACCAGATCGGATGTGCGGGCCCCGAACAATAGGGATGAGAAAAGACAAGAGAGAACAGGTCAAGAAAACAAAACAGAACAAGTCCTGACTAGGTCCAATATAACAGGGCCAATATCGGTCATCTAGTGATGGGTATAAAGGTATACCAGATGATAGAAGAATTAAAAATATATAATTGTACAACATTAAAATTATGAATCAAATAAACTTGAAAGACTAGTTCCTTTGTTAGTGGGGCTTGCAATCTAACACATCAGTAACCAATCATGTATAGATGAAGAGTAACTCAGCTTAACACCAACAGAAAATCTTTCCTTCTATACATGGAGTAATTTCCCTTCCTTTTCTCTTAAAAACCCCTTGTCTTCATTCTGTAATTGGAACACTATTTGGGTTTCTGCCTGAAACTGTACTCCAAAAATTGCAATTCTTTTGTATCTGAAATAAATGATTGTTGCTTTTATTTTGGCTTTTATTTTTTAGGTTTAAAAAAATCAACAATAATGGTAGTTTGTTTTTTAAGTGTACTCCTGAATAAACATGTTGATAATGGGTAGATCAAAATGGAAATTATGAAATATTTACAATACAGAGTAAATGAAAACACAACAAATCTAATTTGTAGAATGTAAGCAAAGTAGTATAGAAAAGTAACTACTGTCTTAAATGTATTTATTAAAACAAAATAAGTATTTTAAAAAACAAAACTCTTAACCAATATAAAGAAAAAATTGTTAAATTTTCAAAGAAAGTAGAAGAAATAACAGAGATAAGAGTAAAACAAATAGAATAGAAGTCAATTGCAAAAAAATGAAAGGGTAGAGATTTCCACAAAATCAAAAGTAATTCCTTTGTAAATATTGACAAAATAAACAAACCTCTAGGTACCACAGAAGGAAGGAAAGAATAAAGGAGGGAAAGAAGGAATCAAAGGAAGGAGGGAAGGAAGGAAGGAAGGAAGGAAGGAAGGAAGGAAGGAAGGAAGGAAGGAAGGAAGGAAGGAAGGAAGGAAGATGAACATAAAGGATGCTAAAGGGCATGGGGAGAGAAGCGCAGATTTGTGAGAGCACCGGGTGATGCCAGCAGGCCCAGGTCAGGCAGGACAATGAGGAAGCTCAAACACCCAGGAGCAGCATGAGGCACTGAGTCCTACATGGAAGAGGAAATCACAGAGAATAAGAAAAAGAACCACAGAGAAGAGCATGAAACGCACTCAAGGGAGAGGCAAACGAAGAGCAGCTCTCCAAGTATTTTCCTTTCTAAATAAAAAGGTAGCATTACATAAATAAAATCCATTTAGAATAAAATAACTTCATTAAGAACTTATACTAGATTAAAATAATATAGCTGAAAGTGAACTTAGCTGTTCGTTCACACGTCCAATAGATTAACAGAAACCGGGTATTCATTGAGAAAGCACAGCTGGTCTTCCTCCCAAGAAGAACCCCATTTAATTCAACTACCCACCAAATCTCTTTTCTGATTTCATATGTTTTCTACCTTTTAAAACACTGATAATTTTGTTTTATTTTTATTAAATTAATTTTTTATTTTTTAAAAACTACCAATGAACTCAGTGTGTTGTTTTGTATATTTTATTTGTATAGACATATGTATTTATTTATATTTGACATATTTCTGAGGTTTATCAATACAGGGTTAGGTAAATTGTGAAGTCAGTCGAAAAACAAACAAACAAAAAATCAGTGCTTGCCTAGATATTCTTCCAAAAAAGTTCTTCCCCTTGGAGATACCCTTTCCTTAATCCCTGAAGATACCCCTTCCCCAATCCTTGGAGATACCCTTTCCCCAATCCCTGGAGATACCCCTTCCCCAATCCTTGGAGATACCCCTTCCCCAATCCCTGGAGATACCCCTTCCCCAATCCCTGGAGATACCCTTCCCCAATCCCTGGAGATACCCCTTCCCCAATCCCTGGAGATACCCCTTCCCCAATCCCTGGAGATACCCCTTCCCCAATCCCTGGAGATA